AGTTCCTTATAGCTGGTCTCCGCGCCCTATAGCGCCAAACATTAGAGGTTCGGAGATCTTGATATATGCTCTCAGATTACTTTGCATCAAAAATCAAACATCACCACTCGACTCAGCGTGTTCGATTACCTATAGTATGACGTATTCAAGGGTGATTGAACGTCACCTGGCCGATTTCAGGGGTCTCAGGAAAATGCGTATACCCTCTAAAGGGAGCAAGTTATTGAGCTCGGCCTTGGGTAGATCGAACGAGAACAATATTTTCTATCGAATGGTTTAATTAAAGTTTAAAATCAAATGGAAAAAGCGTTCCGAAAGCTGTCCCCAGAATGTCCATCGGACGCTTATCCGATTGGTCCATTGCTGACCAATCAAAATTTTCCATACATTTACGTGCCCCGGTGTCATCTTTCTAATGGTGAAAACCGCAGGTCGCTAGCTATTTGCGTTCTCGAGTTATTCGACTCGCACTCACTCGCCTTCTATTCTGAAACGGATAGTAGAAATAATTGATTGATGTGAAGTACTGAAAAAGTGATCAGCTGCAAAGAAGAAATTCTCAGATATAATCTTGTACGATTAATGGATTGGTTCCTTACTATTTAATTCTTACCCTATCTTGCATATCTCTAGCTGAAACTGGCACAAACTTATTTGTCGTACTTTAGCTTTTTAAGTGTTGAATGTGTGTTTCGAAATAATGAGACATTAGTAAAATTTCATTTAGTTTTAGATGTTTTTAACAAATAAAAGCAGAAATCAGTATAATTTACTTCAAGATGTTTAATTTGTTGTTCAAATTGTATTTTCATTTGATGATATTCATCTGTTAAACTTGAAAGTTTTTGTCCAAGTTGATTAATTTGTATTTGATCTTCGCGAGCATTTCGATCAAGAATTGTTTTCTATTTACAAAAAAAATTATAAATTAATATAAAATATTTTAAATAGTTAAACAAACATACTCGTTCACTTAAATTAGTTACTTTAACTGTTGTCTGTGTTACAAATCGATTATGTTGTACATCATTATTTCTTGATGATAATTTTATTTGTTCAATTGTTTTAAGTAATGTTTCACGATCTTTTTGTTTTGATACACTACAGAGAAAAAAAATAATTTCATCAAATTAATTGTATTATATTCATACCGAGTATTTCGAATATGTTGAAGTTCTTTTTCAAGTGTTGCCATTTGTAATTTTAATGAATCAACCATCATTTGATGAGCTTCTCTCATTGATTCAAGTTCTTTTGTTGTTTCAGCATTATCTAAATTAAGTTTAGCTGTTTTTTCAAGTTTTGTTGCAATATCTTGTTTTATTTCTTCTAATCTAGAAAAATTTTTTAAAATATTTCATTGAAAAATTTTTCATTTATATTACAAACCCTTTCCCTGTTTCTGTTATTGTACTTTCTAAAGTTTTTGATGCTTCAACATGTTCTTCAATTTTTTTTGCAACTCCTTCATGTTTTTGTTTAAGTGTTTTTAGTTTTTCGGTTTCTTCATTTGTTCGTTCTTGAGCCTAAACAGTTTATATTAAGTTAACACGACTATTGTATTCGAGATAGATGTTCCCGCGACATGTGTTTCCTTGACATTGAGAAAGAAGGTTAGTGTCAGGTCGAAGATTAATGTAAGAATGATGATAAGAGCTACATCTAATTTCAGTACTTTTCTAATAGTTTTTAAATTACTTATAAGCCCGGTCCTCCCCGATGGAGGCGGTCATGGCTGAATGGCTATGTTGTTTGATATGTATCCACAAGATACTGCGTACAAACCTCACAACCATCAGTTATGGACTGACTAATGATTATTTGTCTTAGATCATCCATCCGATAGCATGCTGACTATGTTGTGACATATACCTATATTCTAATGATTAGTAAGTGTGTATGAGAAGCTCAAGAACTCTGCGTCAAACTGGCTTCCTGCCCAGAGCTGAAAATGGCTATAGTTCTAGGAAATATATCGGATTATTGAATTTGTCGCTATTCAGCATCCCATATCGTATTTTGTTATGAAATTCTTCTAAAGCGAAGAAGAATTTAGTTCTAATCAAGATTGGTTGGAAAGAAAATCTTGTGGATTTGTTGTGTTAGATATAAAGATAAAAGCAATGACAATAACATACGACTACTGCTCGTTGTTCAAGTGAAGCTTTTTTTGTTTGATAATCAAGTAATGCTATACCACATGATTCAGTAAATTGAAGCCTATTTGAAAATAAAATATTTTCATTGTTTTGATTGAAAGATTTTTTTTACCTTTCTTGTAATAAACGATCATGTTCTCGTTGTTCCATTTCGAATAATTCATTTTGTTCTTGAATTTTTTTCTTTACTTCATCATTTTCATTATCAAATCGTTCACGTTCCTATTCATAGATAGAAAATTTATTTATTAGTTTTTTATTTTGTCTATACTCAACTCGATACATTGTACGTAATTGTAATTCAGTTTCTGATACTTTATGATTAGCTGCATCGACATTTCTGGAAATAAATAATGAATAAACAAAAAAGACAAAATGAAATTGTTAATTTTAAAAGAACTACTTTTTTAATAATTCATTGGCTTTTTCTTGTTCTTCATATCGTTTGAAAGTAGTTGCCTGAAAAAAAGAAAACAAACGTAATTATTTGATTAGAATATAAGGATAGATTTTACTTACGATTTCTTCTTCAAGACGAACTTTTTCTTGACGAGCTTCATTTCGTTCTTGCATTAAACATTCTTTTAATGCCATTATATCTTCTTCTAAATCAAATGTCTATGATAAAACAAAAACAAATAATTTGAATAATAATATTCATTCTTTGGTTGAAATTAGATTAAATTCATAAAAAAAGAAAACACTTCAAGAATATGTTTTATGTTAAGTAATAAATTTTCTATTTTAATCTTTGTTTAAAATTCAAATGATGAAATAACATTACAGATGTATTTAGTTACAATGACTGACATGAGTTAGTTTTTTGTCCTGGTTTTAATGTCACTGAAATCCATTTTTTATTTGAATATTTAAGGACAATGATCTAATATATGGGCAAAAGGAGACATATTCACCTTTTATTTAACTCTAATTCTTTACAAAGTCTATTTTCTGAATAGGTTCTTTTAACTAACTAGTAATTAATTAAAAAGTAATAAGAGAATATCTCTCAAATCATAGGAGAAAGAAAAATCGAAACCTTCAGANACCAGGGAATATATTTATAAGAAAAGAAAACTCGTTCTATTTAGTAGTGTCTTGTTGTTTTTCAAATCTATTGACAGCAAAATAAAAATAGATTGAAAAACGAATTATTCTAAATCTAGAAATCACATTCCATAAGAAGGTAACTCTTTTCTTTGTTTTTGTCGATAAAAAAATTTATTTTGACTGACATGAGTCATGCACAGCGATGAATTCATGTTACAGAATTTTAGTAGAGGTGAACATTGTGAAATAATGAAATTAATTGTGAAAGCTCTTATTTTTACCTAGGAAATATATATTTTAAATGTATAAAGATAAACTCAATATAAACACATTAATTTCAGTGTTAACTTGTGAGCCATTCATCAAGCACTTGATCACTTCAAAATCAAATACAAATCGGATTAATGTTGTGGAAACTTCTATTTGATGTAGTATTTGACAGTGCTTGTGACACAAAGCTATAATAGTATCCATAAGATGAATCTAGTCAGAAGCAATATTATATTTCTCTATGAAAAGTTCAAACATTTATTCAACAAATGAAATGTATGCATATCATAAAAAGAAAAAAACAATACATTTGTGAATGTAACCCTAAATAGTACGTTCAAACCAAATGTAATTCGTATCATGGGAGAAGAACTTTTTAAAACTTTTACGACAAATTTTCTGTAAGAAAGCTGTCAGAAACATTATGTTGATCAATTGGATCATTTCGAATGATCGTTGTGAAGAAAATAACATTAGAGAATAAATCTCTGTATAGTAAATTAAGAGAAACAAATATTTTGAATCGGAGAAATTAATTGAAGAAAAGGATTGATTTATGCTTAGTTCATCGTCATCATAGCTTAAACATTGTCTTGTTTGATAACAAGATGAAGAATATGAATGTAGAAATATTAAAAAACCGAACATGTGACTTGGGAATGTGTTCGAACGCTTTATGGCCTTTTAGGCTAAAATCAAAGTTTAGTATCTGTTCTTGTCGGTTTGAAAGCCGGCACTGACTAAAAAATGTCAGGCTCTTTCGAACGAATTTTTGGTAGATTGTCCGGTCCACTTCAGAATAGTGCAATCGTGTCACGGATCAGCTCGGCATTGTAGTGTCGTCGAGCTTGGTCCACTCCTGTTTCCTTTGAGATATGGGAATCATAGTATCATTCAAAAAATATAGCATAAAAACTTTTTTTTTCACTTGAAACTAAAATTCATACGAGCAAGAATGTATAATTTTAGATTTGTGAATAAGAAGAAATGTGAACAACAATTATGTGTAACTATTGATTTGTTAGTAATATTTGTGTTTTGATATGAACGAAGTCTACGGTTTAATTTTGAGGGTGTGGGTGCAGGTGTGGGCCACATCCACACCCACACCCTAAATATACGCATAAAATTTATTAACTAACTCAATTTTGTCTCTTTAGTTTATTATTACTTGTCGTACTTGTAATTTTTGTCTTCGTTTTCTTAGTTCTGGAATATAAAAGAAGATATGTCCAACAGCAGTTAAAAAACATAAAATCTCAGTGATTGAATATGGAATAACAATGCTTGGATTAACTTTAGTTGCATTAAGTATTGACGATGTTGAATAAACCCCTTCATGATTTGTAACATTGATCGATAGAACTTTTTGAGTAATAAACGGGCGAACAAGTAAATTAACAAAAACAGCATCAAGTCCACATCCTAAATGAACTGAATTTAATGGTGCTGCAGCATTGTCACCCCACATTCTCAATAAGAGATTATTTGCACCTAAAAATATATATTCAGATTTAACTTGTTGCAATAAAAAATTTAGAAATGTTGACTTATCTAAATCTGTAAGACTTTTAGAAAGTCCTTGAGTAAAAGACAAAACACACATTAATAACAATGATATAACAAATGGAGTAGCAAAAACCACTGGAAAGAAAGGAATTTTAAAAATCTTTTTATTTTCATGACAAGATTTTACCAATAGTCGGTAATATAAATGTACAAAACAGAAGACCTTCTGAATGTTTTTTGACAATGTTTTGTAGAACAGCGCCAAGAATATTAGCAACTAAACATCCAGCACTTCTCGACGCAAGCACCGAACCCATGCCACTATACGTAACTTTGATATTTGCTGCAAGAATTGACATTGTTGGACGAACCAATTCAAGATGAAAACCCTTAAATATCAAATAACTTGTTTTTTTTCATGATTCTTGCTGCGATGAAAATCGTTTATAGAAGTATAAAATTTACCAACATAATCCATGTTAGAATAAGATATCCAGTTTTAACTAAATTCTATGGATGACTTAAATAAATTTGTATACCAGATGGAATTTCTGCCGTGGATTCTCTTGCCATTTATTATTTAACTGTAATATGTTAGGTAGTTTATTTGACAATAGATTTAAATCTGTACCTTTTTCTATTGGTAAATAAATATTTATTTTCGTTTGATCAATGAACACCGAAAAACTAATAATTAATATACTTATTATCATTATATTAATATGAATAGTTTCGCTATAAAATTACGTGTTTCGAAACAATCTTACAATAGTTATCGGTGAAGAAAAAAAAGCTGTTAGCGCAATCCCTTGCGGGATTAAAAATGTGAAACACGATGGATCTATTGTTACTAATTAAATGAATATTATTTTGTTCCATTTCTTTGCGATACATCTGTAGCTAATTTCTCATTTCATCTCAGCAGGCGTATCGGGAAGATCTTCTAGTGAATTTACATCATTGTAGAGTTGTTTTGCGTTGCCATGACTAGTTACGACAATACCAATGACATGGAAAATGATGATTGAGGGTTACATATCATTGAAAAAGTATACAAATTTCTTTTCCAGCTCTTTTGACAAGCTTTATGAAAAAAAAAGAATCTTCACTTATTATCTTATGATTAGTTGAAAGCAATAGAGAAGACTTTGAGCCATGATGGGGTGACAAAAATCACCAAAAACAAAGTGACAGTCGCTCAAAAGTTAGATGTTAAAGAAGCTGTACAATATGGCCGAGATTATACATTTATCCCATTAATATCAGCGTGATTATACATTTACCCCATTTGAAGTAAATGTGTAATAGAAAAGTAGTGCTCAAAGAGTATCTTGTAGATTGGTGTCAATAATGAAAACTAAAAAAGTTATAAAATATTATATTGAGGATTACTCATTTTTGTTCTACATTTACTCTATCTTACTCTACGTGAACGAAAAGAAAACGAGAAGACATCTTTACCAATATTTATATTTACGAGACTTTGCTGTTGTTAGTTACTTGAATATAATAGGAAAAAGCGAGCTTTTCATTTTCAAGGTCGAAAAGCATATATTATACTTCGTATAATGCAAAAAAGAATCGTCTACCCTTACTTATACAAATCAGGGATTGTGGTAATTGTCTCCACCTATGTTGAGAAAAAGAGAAACCCTTATATTTTACGCTCATTATGACTCCCTCTTATTTTGTATTTGCTTGCATGCCTTTCTCTCCTTACTCCTCTACGACTGATGCCATTAAGATAGAATACCCAATAAAAACATGATGCATTCAATCGTAAGATAGAGAAAGAATAATATATTTATGCGGCCGTAAGAGAAAATACACAGACTTCGTTTTAATGCTGAATAGCATCTATCAGTTTGATATGTTTCATGGTACTCACTCAGCTCGACTATTACCTTTAGAAGAAAAAAAAAGAAGAACGAGTGAAAAGTAATCTATGTGCACACACCAAGACGAAATGTGCAACATATGTCGTACATTGCGATACGATGCACGACACACTGAAATCCGACACCAGATGCTCATTGCAAGATATTTCTTTCAGCGGATCTACATCATATTTCGTACGACGCATTTCCAAATGTGGTTCGAAGCCATTTTTGGGCATGTGGATTATTATTTTTTTGGAAATTCAAATAGTTAAAATTAGTAGCATCTATGCCTGGAAGGATGTGGGAGTGGGTGTGAGTGTGCCTGGGTGTCCGTATGGGTTTCTGGTCACCTCTAAAAGAAACACTCACACCCACATCTTCGTACTTCTTATTCAAGGTTCAACGAATGTTAGAGTGGATCGAACTATGCATATGGGCGAATATCATATCAAGTTATCTTAGGACAAAGTATAGATTCAAGTGGTAACATTTACGAAATCTAGAAAGACAGAAACTAGTTCGAGATGTTTATGTACTACCAATTGGAGAATTTTTGTTAGAATTAAATAAAATGGGTTCACAGCATATCACCAGCTGGCAGCAAAAGTACAATATTTGTTTTCTGGTTGTTGAAATACTTTGAATAAGGAACGGATTCTTCAACGAATTGGTGTCCATAGAAAAAAACCCAAGCCTGTTCTGAGGTGCAAAACTCAAATTAAGAACGTTGCCTGCCCATTGGTAACGAAATTGTCATTATTCAGACTTTGGTACAAGTGTTACACAACGTTACCAAATATAGTACATGTGAAAAAATTATTTGGACACTTACAATACTTACCCTGTGAGAGAAATTTCAAAATCAAGGAACTTACTTCACCTTCAATTAGACCATCTTATAGCCCAAAATATCTCCTATTACGAATATCAAAACTAAACTTTTCTACAAGGTTTTTCTTGAACTTTGAAAAACTGGTCTAAATATTTTTTTACAACATAAATATTTAATATTAAAAACGATACCACTAAGGTTTGAAAAATATACATTTTCGAGAAAACCACGTATCTTCTAAGACTGTAGAGCTATTCGCATATTTTCAGATTCGCTTTTTAATTTATTTGACAATTCCAAAACCGTTGATGAAGACAAAATTCTGAATTTGTTGCTCATTTTGCCTCATCTCAGCCACATCATCATGAAAGGATGACTTTGACAACAAAGATCAGTAATTCAAAATAAAAAATCGAATGAAAGTTTGTTGATACCAGACAAAATTTTCTCTCTTTTCAAACAATGTTTTCTTCGTGCTCTCCTTACACATATTAGATTTTGGTCATCAACAATACATGCCGATAACATAAATTATTGACTGTTTGGTTAAAGAATATCTTTTGTGACAAAGTTTATTAGACAATAAAATATATAGTGATGAAAGGATTATGATAATTGCATGCTTTAAAGGCGAATGATCATATTTAAAAAAAATCAAGTGCAACAAGCTTCTGAAAAGTGTAAGATTGTCAATTAGCATTCTATCAATGTTACCAACTCTTATCAATATATATGGATGAACTGTGTGATCGACGTACCGTTCGGGTTGACAAATAATGAAAAATGAAAGTAGCCCAATTGTAGTTGAAAGTATATGATTGGAAAGGGAACTCTAAATTACCTATAATTTCACAGTTTCCCTAATTGAAAGTTTAAAATAGTTGAATTATAAAGCTCGTACGAGATGTTCAGCAAATAGATAACACCTATTGTTTAACTGTTTTGTAGGAAGTATTTAGCCGGTATGCTCTTCTTTTGTGATAGGTTTTCGAAAAACTTAGTTACCTTGGCGTGAGAAAAAATTATTTTCTAGATGCCATTACATTTTAAACATATCGTTCTCTTTTCCCGATGAGAACTTGTATCATCAAAGTCATTCTTTTCAGCACTTGAGGATGACGAGAAAAGCAAAAAGTATATTAATCTCAAGCCAAACGACTTTATCTTTCTCGAAAAACATGCAAGCAGCAAAATTTAAAAAAAACGTAATCTTATATCTATGTCGTATGGAAACGAGTATTTTTCAGAATTCTTGCCGATTTTCTCTTCGAAACCTAGCAAGTTCAGCAGTGGATTTTGCATGAAAACTATTTGGGCGAAATTCTCTTCTTTTTAGGGCATTGCGGAAAACTCTCAATAATCATTAGATAGAGAAAAGTCACTTTCAAGCTAGCTTTATAGAAAACAGCAGTTTGTTGTGAACGTCTGTTCTCGTTGAGTTTTGATGAATAAAGATCTGATTCTATGAAAAACAAAACATATATATTCTTGAAACGCAAAACAAGCTCTAGAAGTCTACTTAAAAAAGGAATTTTATAGATCTTCTTTGATACGAGACAAATAGGCGTTTTCTTGTTTAGCAACATCTAGTTTCTGAACCTTCTCATGTCGGAAATATTATATTTTTAGAAAGAAATCTGATTGAGAACTGATTCTTAGACGGTGATAGCGATAAGTGAGACAAGTACATAGAAAAAATTTTGCTTAAATGAGTTGACAGGGACGGCTACTGTTTCCTAAACACACTTTCTACAGCAACAGTACAACAACCATGCAATTCATCAATATATATTGCGATAAACAAATTTTTACAAAAGATTGCATCGACCGCAGCATTTGTATGGATACTGGTTCTCATAAACTTGAGTGTTTCCTGCACCATAGAGACAAAATGTGTATGTTTTGCCTACATAGAAAAAGTACGCCAAATGATTTGAAAAAAGCTGTTGAAAAATCTGGTTACCTGGCTTTGTGTCCAATGTGTAATCGATTTCTTTGATACGAAGACATTGAACAGTACAACGTAATCGAATAGTTTTTCCCCCTTTGTTGGAATGTTCTTTTCTATATTGTTCGCGGATGTTGGTTCGTAAATCATCAGGCAATTCAACACATGTATCAAGTACAGTGTCGATCGATTGTGTCGAGGACCAGGTATCATCGAATTTGAGACAAGTGACTTTGCTCGATACTTTCTCTATTTCTGAAGCCGGAAGAATACTGCTGTTGCTAGCATCCCGATTGATCGATGATTTATGGTTCTCCCATTTAACGTGCAATTGATTGTAAATGAGAATAAAGCGGAGACCTTTGCAATCAGTACATGGAATACGACCACGAGTGAGACATGTCGGACAATTGATTTTGACTTTTCCCGAACATGTGGCACACCTATAAGAACCTTTACCCTTGCACTTCGAACAGTTTTCATTCTGGCAACACTCAATTGAACCTTTGCGATGACATGTGTCACAATCCACGGAGCCAAAACCTAAACACTTCGGACATTTAATTTCTCCAAGACATTCACACTTCGCACATCGCTCTCGATGTTGAGTCTCTTTCAGATCGCGAACTACCTCTTCAGGTTTCTCATCATCAAGTAGAGTTTTAGTCGGTCGATCGAAATGATAATCATTCCATATGT